ATTTGATCGTTAGTTATTGTCAGCAAAGTGAATTTCTTGTATTTTCCTATGATGTTGTAGTTCATTAACATATTTTATACTGTTTGAACTTGAAATTTTTTTTTGTCCCTCTTGTATGCTTTTTGCCAGTTGCCCATAACCCAGTTAAGATTTAAACGATTCTGGTAAAAAAAAAGCAAGTGCTTCTGATTGTTGATTTTTTTAGTTATTTTCTCAGTTATATGGTGTACATGTATGCATTGAACTGTTGAAATTTCCTGTGTCAATAACAACATAGTTCATGTTTGCTTAGTTATCAACATATTGGTATTCTTGTGCAACACAAAATTTATTTGCTGCTGTTACAAAGCCATTAGCTACATCTATGAAAATATTCATGCTTCTGTTTTCAGGTAATCGGATGTAGTTAGTTAATTATTGGAATTCAAATCAGGTTAGAAGAGAAACTCACCAATATAGAATCAGAGAATAAGGTCCTTCGTCAGCAGGCTGTCTCCATGGCACCTAATAAGATCCTTTCAGGACGCTCCAGATCAATTCTTCAAGTTCTCCCAGAAATCAAACTTCTTCAAATCATGAACTAATGTTGTGGATGTTTTATGAAATTTTCATGTTTTCATCTATTGGCAGAGAGGTGGTAAGAGTGGTCATTTGTTTGTGGATACAAAGACAACTTAGGTAAATTTTCATGTTTGTAACAAGTCCGCGAGGGACCCTTGCTACAGTTCGGACTCGATTTGTGTCACGGTTCTAAGTCTGAACCAAAGAGTCCAAATCCGGCAAATCGTTTTGAGAAAAACAGATTTTTTTTTTTTAAAGAAGTGCCAAACATGGACTGCTTTGCCAGATACAGAGTCGCCACCTAAATATTTTAAAATGGGGGAATTTAGGAAACCCTGACTCGGTGCCGAAGGCCACGTGTCCGTCATCACCAAAGTTGCCTCGGCTCGGGAACTTGGGTACGATCGGGGAAGGTCAGCTATGAGCACCCCCTCTCGCCCGGTCTGAAGACCGGCCTCTACTAACCGTGATATCCAGTTTTGACAACGTTATGTGTTCCTATTCCGGTTATTAGCCTAGAATTACTATGTTATGCGCACAGCAAACAAGTATAGACCAAATCGCCCAAATTGGAACAAAACATTTCATGTTTGTTTTGAAAATGGTTTGCTACTCGCAAGTAGGCTAAAATGCAGATTTTGCCACCCTCAAGTGGGCTTTTAGAAAAGATGATTTTGCCACTATCTAGTGGGCTTAAAACTCACAGTTTTAATGCATTATTCCAATTTAGGTAATTCAACCTCCATCCACAGGCATTCAAGCAGTTATATCACATAAGCAGCTAGCCTCATGGTAATCATACTGTCATGGCAACACTCACACGCATGCGATATGCTAAAGCATAAAAGCTTACCTAGTACTCCGAGCCAAAATAGAAACTAGTCAGTAATCATATGCATGATCCTAGTTCATGTTAAAAATGGCTAATGCAACACATGCAAAGATGCAATCTAAACAGGCTCGACTAACCCTAAAATGGCATATGAAATGCTACAAGTAACATGTATTCAATTTGGAATTGAAAAGTACAATGTAGTTTGTATGATGAGCCCGGTGCATGTCAACAAATGCATGAATGCACGCATGCATAGCATAAGGTATGCTAAAATAAATGTGCCCTAATCTACCATCATAAGCAGGTAAATAAAAGGGAAGAAAGAAGTGGAGGTTGGAAGACATGCACACCACGCACACACACTTATTACAGATACGCCCTCACTCGGAGGGACCAAAATAATAATACAGCCCGAAAAATTATTACAAAACTTCTAGTCTAATCAAAAAAAGGTGCCAAGGGAAGATGGCCGCAGCCCCCACCTCGGGATGCGTGAATAATGCACGTTCGATCCAACTTGCCCGGAAACTCGTTGTCATAGCACTACTGCCTCTGTTTTCACTGCCTTTTCTTCTCTGAAAACTTGTCAAAGTCCCAGAGAACCTTCTATGAGCATTGCAGAACATCATCGGCTGAGAGGAATGGCCACCGGCCGTATACAATATCCATCGGCTGGAGATAAAGCTATCGGCACTGAATAAATGGCCGGTCAGCACTGAATGTTGCCGGTCGGCAGAAACTTCCTGCAGAAGACAGTTTTGACATCAACAAAGGACAGGCAGTGTATGGCATGAAATTTCAAGCAAATGTGTGCACCAACACATCCCTTATCATGCTTTTGACTCAAAGGGGTATGTTCCTTGATTCTCGGACCACCAATTGCGCATTTCGATGCATGATGGTCCAAGAAACCAAGTATGCGCTTTGATTTCAAATGTCATGCAAACCAAACAAGCACATAAAGCCCAACCTCTATCACATGATCAAGAGGCAAGGCATGCATGCCAATGCAATGCAACCTAGGTATGCAAACAAGAATACAAGCATGCTATGCAACTACATGGCATGCACAATGCTAACAACATAACATGCACAACGCTTTGAAACATAGCATACACAATGCAAGATGGACTTACACCAATGTGAATGAACCTCAGCCGCACCCACATCAGTGGCCATAAGATGAAAATGAAGTGCCTCGAAATGCGTGCACGCGGGCACGCAAACCGAGACAATGGCATGTGCAATGCAATGGCTAAAATGGCATATAGAATGCAACATGGACTTATACTAACATGAGAGAGCCTCAGCCACACTCACATAAGAGGCCGATGGATGAAAATGAAGTGCCTCGAAATGCGTGCACACGGGCACGCAAACCGAGGCAATGGCATATGCAATGCAATGGCATGGAAAATGATATGCAAACATGCCAATGGGATTTTAGCACTGAAATGTGGGGGAAAGCAGCCTCGAAATGAGGCGAAAGCACACCCGATGCATGGAATAGTCCCGAAACATGGACTTTTGGCACCCGAAATGGCCTATAGCTATACCAAATATGCACAATATGGACATGCAATGAATAGACAGTAGCAAGGCAGTTCCAAAATCAGCATTTTTCCAGTATAAATCATGGCCAAACAGCAAGCAAAGATAGGGCAACAACGGCATGCAGAAAATGGTCCTAAACATGAGATTATGAAGCAACTCACAGCTGCTAACTCCAAATGGGTTAGGGCCCTTCAACAACATTGAAGAGGGGCCCAAAATATGCACATTTACAGAACTGTAAAAACTCCAAAACAGTATACAAACATGCTAGAAATGCAATGCAAAATGAGGCTCAAAAGAGGCTATAACATGAGGTATACAAAATATTCATCAAACAGCCAAAGACCCTTGATGAAACATGTTAAGAAGGTCAAAATAAGACTATTTCTAGGCCTGTAAAAAGACCAAAAACAGAAACATGATAGGCTGCCAAAGCATGCAAAAATGGGGACCAAAGAGAGGATATAACATGAAGTGGCACATGAAGGTCCCAAACATTAATGAGCCCTTCTTCAATGTTGAAGAGGAGCTCAAAATAAGCCTATTTAAAGTTTACATCATGCTCCAAAAAAGATCACACGCAAGCCAAAAATTCTATGCAAGATTATGGCATTCAATGAGGATATTGAAGCAAGTGCGAGATGGGGGGCTCAAACAGTGTTGAGCCCTTAAGAAAAAGTGAAAAAGAGCTCAAAACAAGGTCACTCTCAGTTAGGGCCGGAGCTCAAAACAGTAAGCATGTATGGCTTACAAATGGTGCAAGAAATGGACCAAAAATGGGGGAAATGCTACTCACCCTTGAAGACCAATGCTTTTATTGCTTCTTGGACCAACTTTGATGATTCTAAGCTGATGGAATTCCTCCCCTTGCTGCTGGAATAGAAGTGGTGGAATGATGCTATAGGGTGTAGTGCAAATAGGCCAAGAGCAAGGCCCTTTTGGACCCTCAAAACCAACACAAATGTAGAGAGAGAGGGAAATATATAGAGAGAGTGATATATATCTCTTCTATATCAGATTTTTAGAGAGGTGGTGAGAGTGGTCATTTGTTTGTGGATACAAAGACAACTTAGGTAAATTTTAATGTTTTATGAAATTTTCATGTTTTCATCTATTGGCAGAGAGGTGGTGAGAGTGGTCATTTGTTTGTGGATACAAAGACAACTTAGGTAAATTTTAATGTTTTATGAAATTTTCATGTTTTCATCTATTGGCAGAGAGGTGGTGAGAGTGGTCATTTGTTTGTGGATACAAAGACAACTTAGGTAAATTTTAATGTTTTATGAAATTTTCATGTTTTCATCTATTGGCAGAGAGGTGGTGAGAGTGGTCATTTGTTTGTGGATACAAAGACAACTTAGGTAAATTTTAATGTTTTATGAAATTTTCATGTTTTCATCTATTGGCAGAGAGGTGGTGAGAGTGGTCATTTGTTTGTGGATACAAAGACAACTTAGGTAAATTTTAATGTTTTATGAAATTTTCATGTTTTCATCTATTGGCAGAGAGGTGGTGAGAGTGGTCATTTGTTTGTGGATACAAAGACAACTTAGGTAAATTTTAATGTTTTATGAAATTTTCATGTTTTCATCTATTGGCAGAGAGGTGGTGAGAGTGGTCATTTGTTTGTGGATACAAAGACAACTTAGGTAAATTTTAATGTTTTATGAAATTTTCATGTTTTCATCTATTGGCAGAGAGGTGGTGAGAGTGGTCATTTGTTTGTGGATACAAAGACAACTTAGGTAAATTTTAATGTTTTATGAAATTTTCATGTTTTCATCAATCCTTTTGTTAAACATGCATTTTTGTTGATTACTGTTAAAAATGCCTTAGGATCTGCATAGCCCTTCATTAAACCAAAGGGTCTTTCAGAAGTAGAGGACAAGCCACAAAAATCTCTTAATGAGAAACAGCAAGAGAATCAAGAGCTTCTTATCCAATGTATTGGACAACACCTAGGCTTCGCAGGGAACAGACCAATTGCTGCTTGTATCATCTACAAATGCCTTCTACAGTGGAGATCTTTTGAAGTTGAGCAGACTAGTTTGTTTGACGGAATCATTCGAACCATAAGCCATGCTATCGAGGTTTGAATAATCTAATCCTATATGCTACTAGTGTGTCTTGTTTTCGTTTTTTGTCATAATTGGCTTCTCATAACTAAGTATTAGAATTTGGATTAAAGACCCAGCATAACAATGACATCTTAGTCTATTGGTTGTCCAATTCCTCATCTCTTCTGCTGCTACTCCAGCGTACATTGAAAGCAAGTGGTGCCGCTAGAATGGGCGCCGTCGATTATCCTTGGCTACTCTGTTTGGAAGGATGACACAGGTAATTTAAAGCTCCCATTTGAATTTCCATGTTCTGTCATCAAACGAAGTTTTAGTCCTTTCGTTATTTCAGATGTTTGCTATTATTTTTATTTACAGAGTTTCCGAGGAACTCCACAAGGAGTTAATCTTTCCTTTGTAAATGATGGCCTGACTGGTGGAGCAGAAGCTTTACACCAAGTTGAAGCCAAATACCCAGCTTTGCTTTTCAAGCAGCAACTTACAGCATTTGTAGAAAAGATTTATGGAATGATTTGAGATAGCCTTAAGAAAGAGATTTCTCCATTGCTTGGGTTGTGCATCCAGGTAATTGAATCTGTTGGGTAATATGAGTCATTCATCTGCCCAGGTAAGAAATACTTCTTTACATATTTTTGGTCAATTCTCAGATCATGTCATTGTAGTTAATATACATTAATGGATCAAATTGATGGTTCTCATCACACACATACTCATTTAGTGTATGCTAATTCTTGAAATGGTGTGTGGCCTTGCTACATTCGGGGAGGTTTCTTCTATAACAAATATATGATGCACATCAGCAATCATTGCATTATTAATATGAATGATTGAAAATGGATTTTTTTATTTATTTATTTATTTTGACTATGATAGAATTTCCTTATTTTTAAGAAAAGGATTAAGAAGGTTTTTTTTCTTTATATGATAGAATTTCCTTGTTTTTATTATCAAGTGACTTGAAGCTTCTTTGTTGACTCATTTATTTGGTATATTTTAATTTTTATTAGCAATGTCAAACATTATTTAGTTTTGTTATTTTAGTTAAAAACCTTCTTTATCCTTTTCTTTTTTCCTCATATTTTTTTCCCTCCAGCTCATTTGATACATGCTTATGGTTCTTTGAGTAACACAATTTTCTGCAGAATTCCAATCTTATAACATATTTCTAGATATTCTGTCACTAGTTCACCTTCATTCTTGAAAAATTCTCGTCACACTTTTTTCTGATCTACCTCGTAAGAAAACCAACAGAGCTAATTTTGAAAACAGAGAAATCTTTTAATGTTGAATACTTAATCACTACATCATATGAAGCTTGATTGTAGGGAATAACTTGCCAAAATATATTTAGTTTATGCTTTTCTTTCCTGTCTCAATCATCTAAAAATATTCTTTGCATACCTTCGGTTAAACATGGCGTTTTGCTTTTCACCCCTTGTTCACTTGGAATCTCACAACTACTTGGTAAAATTTAATTTAATTTTTGAACTTTCCTTCAGCAACCACTAAGGTTTTGGCTTCAGAACTCCCAAAGCACTGGAACAAAAAATGCACTGTCTTATAGCCTTCTTCAGCAAAAGCTAGCACTGAGATTAGTATGTGCAATGTTTCTGATTTTATGATGGCCCTTTCTTGTCAACTAAGTGTTTTTCCATTGCAGTGTTTATTCGATGTATTACCAGAGGACTGCAGACTTGATTTCTCTTCATTCTGGTTTGTATTTCTTCTTTATTAAAAAGACTACTGAAATTCAATTAAATCATATGACCTTTTTGGTTGCTTTGAATATCTAAAGAAAATAAAGGTAAAACCTTGGGTTTATATACATAAATTTGTTCTGCTTCTTGACAGCTTTTAGGAAACAATTGGAGCATTGGTAGAAAATTCAAAAAATTATTCCTCGTCTAGAGTCTCCAGAATTGATTACATCCTACAGAATTGATTACATCCTATATATGGTTTTTAAGGAAGTGGTTGTTTGGAAGAAAAAGTTTGTCTACCAAGAGAAGAACCAAGAAATAGAAAAGGCTCTAGGGGAATTTAGGAAAGCCATACAAGAATTGGCAAACAGTGATGGTTTTATTTCTTGTTCTACTTTTGTGATGCAGATAATCAAAATGAATAAGAAAGTGTGGTCTTTGTGATAAACAACTCTGTTAGATAGGCCAGGTTATTGGGACATTGTAATTCTTAAATTTGCCTTGATTTTGTTACTATTATTGACAAAGATAATTCTTGTACAAATTATGTATTTCTTAAATTTGCATCAATTGTTTTGGTTATGTACATTGTCTTAATTAGAGCATATTGGGGAAAATAATTCATGTAGCCCACTTGATTGAGACACAAGGATAGGCTTGGTTTGGTTTGGTATATGCATTATCTTATTTATACTTGAGCCTTTTATCAGTACAAAGCTTAACTTTGTGTTTCTTTGTTTGAACAGGCATTCATAGATTTAGAGCAGAAATACAACCATAAGGAGATGATTTACCACAAGTATTTTATACGAATTATATATATATATATTTGCTTCTCTCCCAGCATTGGTTTCACCGTGTTGAGCATTTAGCAATGTACTTGCATAGTAATTAGTATCATTTATTTATTTGGATATGATAATGGTTGGTTTGCCTTATCTCAATTTGATTCTAAAAGGCAGATTTCCGTTATTAAATTCAATAACAAATGCTAATGTTGTAATTCAAATAGTTTTCTCTGTTTACTTAATTTTTTGTAAATGTACTTGTTGAAGTTTTTAGATAACTGGATTCAGTTGTGGATAATAAAAAAATACTAACTTCACCAAGGTTATAATGACATAGCAGTTCTTTTTTCTTTTATTTATTTATTTTTAATTTCAAATTAGTTGGATTATGAATCAATGGAGTCGAGTTAAGTTGAGTTCTTGTCTACCAGAAACACTCTGTTTAGAGTGATTTGGTGAGAAATGAAAGAGAGAGGGGGGACTCTTTTTGTTATGTTTGGTTTATAATTTTAGATTTGTTGATTCTATATATATTTGGTTTTATGACTTTAAAATATATGGCCATACATTGAAGATCTTCATTTTGGATTTATTGATTCTATGTATATGTCATATTTATATATGGTAATACAGACATTTTATACTAGTAACAATCAAAGTCGTTATTCCTTCTCTATTGATACAGGAGATGAAGAGTCAGTGTGATGAGAAAATGTCTGATTTTGTCTTTTATAAGACAAGAACAGTCTCTACAAAAATAGTAAGTTTATTCATATGCTTCTAGTGATTTATGAATTAATTTGTGCTTTTATTTTTTAGGTCAAAAATTTTCTGGAAAGATGCAAAATATAGTGGTTCCGGTATTTCCTGTTGTTGTTTAACTATAATCCGGACTCGGTTCCGTAGATTCGTTGTTGTCTTATCCTCATTTCTATCCCTTACTCTTTTAATTAGAGTTTTGGGTTGTGTTGGGCAAGTTGGGAATAAGTTGGTCGTGTTTTAAAACTTAGAAATTTTGCCCAGGTTTTAGTCTCTCCGCTCGAGCGGCGATTTGACGCTCGAGCGGGGTTTTGTTGCTGCCTTTCCGCTCGAGCGGCAGTTTGGACGCTCGAGCGTGAATTTCCTTCTCTCAGCATTTTGGACATCCGCAGAAAATTCTGGCAGAGTGCGTCCGGCGCTCGAGCGGATCTTGGGACGTTCGAGCGTGAACCTGTGTCTGACGCTCGAGCGGGGTGTTGTACGCTCGAGCGGACCTATTTTTATATCAGTCCGTGAAATCACTTTTTTTTTATCACTTTTTGATTTCCTTTCTCTCTCTTACTTTTTCAAAACCTCCATTGGAGAGCACCTCACTCTAAAACCGAACTTCTCTCTTAGGATTGATCTACCTAGAATGTTTTCCTCACCTTGGGCCTTTGTAAGAAGTGTGTTGATCGTCGAGGGCTTTGTTGAGATCTGAGAAATTTGGGATTTGGAGCACTTCTGAGTTTTACTCATCTTCTCCCTTGGAGCTCTGAATTTGAGGTAGGGATATCCTACTCCTCTCTATGGATTTTGTCTTTAAATTTTGGTAATTTGAGAGGTTGGGGTTGGTTTGGTAATTTTGTGAAAGTTTGGGCCATTTGTGTTATTTTACAAAAGTTGGGGTTTTATTTGTAATAAACCTAGATGCATGTTTGGTATAGAGAAATGGAATAAATGTTGAATCATTGATGAAAATGGGACCTAAGGGTGGTAATGGTAATTATGGAAAATGACCTAATTACATTGTTTAATTAATTGAGATAATTAATTGTGGGAAATGAGGAAATGAAATGGAATTGCTGAGATTGGGAGTGCATGGGGTTGAAGGGTGTAGTTGAATTAATTTATTCACTCACCGAATTGAAATGTTGATTGAATATCCATTTGTGCATTTATTTCCTGCTTAGAAAATATTGCTTTGGGCTACCGGTAGAGGGTAGTGTTGATTGTTGTAGACAATGCATGATGATTAGGCAAACTAAACAAATCAATCGGATGTGTCATAGAGTATGACGGTTGATAGAATACATTTAATTATGTATTGAGTGATTGTTATATGACCAAGTGTTTATATGCATTACGTGTAGAACGGTTGGTAGAATACATTAATTTTATGTATTGATTGTTGTTTGTATAGAACCCTTGTATTTATATGCATTGTGTATAAGGAGGAGATAGGGGATGTACTCCGCGGTTTAGGGAAGATGGGGATGTACCTCTAAACCGGATAGGATTGGGAGTGAGATGGGGGATGAACTCCGTAGATACAGCTCATATGCTTGTCTAGAGAAGTGAAGATACAGCTCATATGCTTATCTTTGTGAAGTGTAGATATAGCTCATATGCTTGTCTAGTGAAGTGTAGATACAGCTCATATGCTTGTCTAGTGAAGTGTGGATACAGCTAATATGCTTATCTGTTGATGTGTAACATGCTTATCTATTGGAAAGTCTGTTTGATTTGATATAGCATTAAAATGTATATCATCATCGTTTGTGAAGTATGGTAGTAGTTTATGTGTTATTGATACAACACCAAAATGTGTATCCACCGTGAATGTTGAAAATGTTCTAGTGATGAACTATAATCTCATCAAAATGTTTTGGCCAGAGTACTGAACCCCGTTTTCAAACTCAAAGTTGAATAAGAAATGAAAGATGAATTGTAACATAGGTTTGGTTGTCATGGAATTGAAATAAGATGTAAATGGAAGTGTAAGTATCGACCATCTATCAGTTGCTAATCTTTTAATCATTGTTCATAGTTGGTTTAGTATATCTCTGCTGGGCTGTGGCTCACCCTTTATGGGAATATCATTTTCAGGTACAGGTAGCATGCCGCCTCTAAGGACATAGCTTGGGAGGCTAGGGGCAAGACATACTTTGTTGCCCTATTTTTCCTTTTGATGTATTACATGTAAATTCAAGCCAAGGGCTTAATGTGTAACCGACTTAATACTCTCTTTTGTAACCAAGTGATAACTTGGAAAGCTGTAAGCCCGTAGGGCATTTTCTTTTGTTGTTAACGTGTAATACTTTTGTAATGAAGTACTCTGATTATTTGAGGGAATGTGGATCTTTTGTATATAAATGTATGTTTATATTGATGGGTTTAATATTATTTTTTTGAGGGCGTGACACAAAATATGGTCAAAGAATTCAAGAACTTAGTTTTTTCAAGTTTTTTTCATTTTTTAATATATGTAATCACAGTTAAAAACTTTTTATTAATTCCTTTGTATATACTTTTGAACATTAACTTTTATTTATGAAATATAGGACATTATTCCATTCAATA